CGCTTTAAGGCGCTGGTCGGGGTGGCGCTCTCCTCCGCGAAGGCTCCTTTGATATTAATAGTGTTGGTGTCTTGAAACTGACGTCATGCGCCGAGACGGAGGTCCTGACAAGCGATAACATTTCTGATAAAGCCCCGATCTCGCTGCCAGCGCCGGCCGCCTCCTTTTGGGGCGCTGATCGTTCGGGGCTGCAGACCTCGCGTCCTCTCCGATCGCGCTCTCGCCTTGTGATTTATTATTTTTTTTAAACAAAACCCAGCCCCCCCGCGTCCCTCCCCCGCCGACCCGGCTCGTCCTCGCTGTTTCCTTTCCTTTCTCGCGCTCTCTTTTCCCCGAGGGGGCAGGGCCGGGGGGGGGGGCAGGAAAAGACCTTTTCTCCCCAATAATCCAAGATCAACTCCGCGGACCACAGAGGACGGTTCATGGCTCTGGCCGCCGCGCCACCATCTTCCGGACTGGCGAGGGTGTTCGTGACGATTGATCAACAGGTAAGGAGGGGAAACCGGGTCGGGACCGGACCGGTACCGGGACCCGGGCCGCGCGACGCCGGCGCTGCGCCCGCGCGGGTGCGCAGAATGTGGGCGATCGCGGCGAGCGGGGAGCCCTGGGAATTAAAAGTGACTTTCTTGAAAGAAAAAAAAAAAAAAAAGCCCTGAGCACAGAGGGAGACGAGGGAGTGTGTGTGTGTGTGTGTGTGTGTGTGTGTGTGTGTGTGCAGAAAGCAAAGCGCAGCCTTCTCGGGTTTCACATGCATTTTCTTTCTTCCTTTTTTGCGCGTGATTTCTTTCTTTCTTCCCTGCGCCCCCGTCCCCCCACCCTCCGTCCCACCCCCTCACCCGCTCTCTCCGCCTGGGTTAGGGTGCTGGGGTCCCGGGCATCGGAACCCTTGCAAACCGGCGACTTGCAACTGGCTGCAGTAGCCCCTTGGAGTCAGTGAGGGTCAAGTTCAGCCGCCGGGGAAGAGGAAAAACAAATCCCCGTTGGCCAAAAAAAGAAGTTTCAGGCCGGTGCCCCCCTCCTCGCTGTCTGCGCGCCGGCGAGCGCGACTCCCCTCGGGCTCAGGCAGGAGCTGGGATTCTCGGGGCCCCGCCGCCGCGGCCGCGCGAGTTTTCTGGGGGCTCCTGGCGAGCAGGGAGCACGCTGCGCAGCGGCATGCACAGGAGTAAGTCGGGCGAACTTGAAAGGGTCGGGAGGGTCCCTCCAGAGGGAGAGCCCTGCGTGGGGTGCCCTAAGTGCGAAAAACTGCACCACGCTGGCTCTGGCTCGGAAGAGTTTGCAAAGCCTGGCTTGAAACTTTTGTGTTTTTTCTTTCCCCGTAAAGGCCCAGCTGGACTGCGGGAGGAGGGTGTCGCATCCGCTGGTGCACCCTCGTCCCAGCGGGTCGGGGCAGCCCGGTGGCTCTGGGGTCGGTGCCATGTGGCAGGGCCTTGCAGTCGGGCGCTTCCGTGGGGGCAGAAAAGGGCAGGCGTCCTCTGCGCCACTGTGGATGCCCGTGTGTCGCATGGGCCTGGGACCCTGGCGGGTGACTAAGCGCCGGACAGCGGTGGGACAGCCCGGAGGAGAGGCGCTGTGCCTACCCTCTAGTTCCTGTTTGGGCTGTAGACTCCAAAATGCTTCTTCGAAGAGGCCAAGGCAAACACCATAGTCTCTCCAAATAACTCCAGGATTATAGGACCCCATGAATAATTTGAGGGTGAGGCCTAGGTGGGGGCTGTTTGAAGTGCAAAGCTGTTTTCTGTGGCAGGGAGCTCCTTTTCTTCTCTCTCTCTCTCCCCCCTTCTTTTTTGGTTAATACCTGTGTGAGATGGTGGTGTTTTCCTCTTTCCCAGGGGAAGCGAGTTACTATTTTATGGCCCTAGGACTGACTCTAAAGCAACTGACGTTCCTGGGCTGAAGGATTGGTGGGGTTTCAGTAGGGAAATCTTGGACTTACTGGACAGTAGGACCTGCTTTACTGCCTCCCCTATCTTTTTAGGCCTCAACACTGATACATTGAAAGTTTTTTATTTTTATTTTTTGAGTAAGAGCCATGCATCTTAAGGTTGAGTCAAAATTATGCTAGGATATTCATCCTTATCCTATTTTGGAAAATCCCGGCTAGAGTTGCACCAAGGTAAGTGAAGTTGAGCAGCAGAGTGGGGAATTAATTGAATGTGAGACAAGTTGGGCCGATTTCATACAACTTTTGTAGATGCACAAACTTCTATAAAGGCACCAGGTGAATAGGAAAGCGCCAGGGAGAAATAGTAAGAAGAAAGGCAGAATGCAGACAGGGCCCGAGACAGAATTATAAAGAAATGATTATGGTAGGCCGGGTTGCTGCCTACAAGTTGATTGCGTAAAGCATAACTGAAACAGGCAACTTGCAAAGTCTTCCGAGACCTCCAGCTCTGAAGTTAAAATCTATGGATCACATTGGCATCGCGTTACTCTCTTGCTGTAGGAAAAGTTGATCATTTAGAAAAGAATGCCTGAGTCACAAATGCCAAGGACAGGACAGCCAGGGAAGCAGCGCAGAGTGGGAAGCCAGTTCTTGACGTGGACAAAATGAGAAAGAAAGTTTCTGAGCTCAGCTGCTGTGAGGTTTGTAACAAGTTGCTCATTTTCTAAGGAGGTTCCCAGTTACTACCCCAGGTCGTGTTCAAAGGGAGAGGACCTAAAATAATTGCGCGGCCTTTATTTATTTTTTTTTTATTTTCCCCCCTTTCCTTAAGTATGTTAGGGTTGTGAAAAAATACAGGGTTTGCTTGGGAGGTTAAGGGTTTCCTGTAAGTTGTGATACTGACAGGGCAGTCTGGAAATGATACCAAGGTTTTGAAGGTTTCTTTCTTTCTTTTTTTTAACCTTTAAGTGAAAGTTTATTAATGACCTGGTGAATCTTAACAAGTCAAACATGTAGCTGTTAGCGATTATTTTTCCTTAGAGTTCTTAACTTCCTTTTAAAGGTGTTCTCTTTGATAAAAACATCTCCATTCAGTTACATAGACAGGGCCAGTCGTGTGCTAAAGTTGAACGATGATTTCTGGATATTAATAATGTGAAAATAAAACCTCCGAAGAGAAAACAGTTAGGATGCCAGCGTCCTGATTTGATTTGTACAAGTACAGACCATTCTGGAGCTTCATTAATAAGGTGCTGGCAAAGTATAATTTACCTGCAGTGAGCTGATGTTTATGGGTGCCTCATGTATCTGTTATATGTTAGATTGTATGTGTGTCGAATACTTTTACACACGTAATAACTAAGTCTGACACTTCAAATAAATGGTGGAACACAGCAAATGCCTTCTGGAAAGTTTGTCACGCCTCTGAATTTTAGATGCGGTTGGTATCCTGACTGCTGTGTATAGTTTGCTCTTTGTCTCTTAAACGTAGCAGTGAAGGTAAGGAAGAAAGTGGCTTAGCATGTGAGGAATCTGAGCTTAGTATTTTGATGGCTAATATTTTAAATGACTTTAAGATGTTTGTCTGTTTTCTTGCTTAGAAAACAGCTTGGAATCCAAATCAGTGTGCTGGTCAGCGAGTTACGTATGCCTTACTATATCTGTGGTATTAGTTTTGCTTTTCTTTTAAAGTTGTGTGTGATTCGAGAGTTTGCTCTGATTTTCACAGTATAGGTCTCTGTATGCGTAAGGAGGTCTTCATTCCGGGGACAACCTTCAAGTCATGGAAGGAAGTGTATCTGAAACAGCTGATTTTAAGCTCTTAGTATGTCAGTGCTGTTGCTATTTATTATAATGGACTCTATTCAGAGATAAAAGCAACGCTTTTCTATTAATGGTCTCTATGTTTTACTAAATCAAAGGCTATTAGATTTTAAGAAACTTTTGTCATACCTTGTTTGTTGAAGTAAGTAAAGATTATTAAAAGTTTTTCAGCACATTGCAGCAAGTTGTTTTTGAACTAGAAGTCTGAGTTTCAAACTGGGATGAATATTGGTAACATGTTTCCACTGTTTTTAGTAATACATATGTTTAACAATTATTTTTGTTTATTTCAATGTCACAGCACTGCTATTGTGTGTAGAAAAAAATAGTTTTTAGGAACGTTTATGGGCAAGTGTCTATATTGGACTTAAAGGGAAAATTATTATTTTTGCCATAAATGATACACTTAAAGCGACTGGCTCACATTAGAACATCCTTACGAAGAGATTCTCTGGTGCGCAAAATGAAGCCATTCATTCAGGAGACAGACAGCTTTCCACTTGGTATTTGCCTTTGCTTAATTTAGTTTCTGCGAGAGGGCTGGTGTGGTCGTCTACATCTGTGTTTTGGCAGGAGTAGAAAACTATAACCTCAGACAGTTCTTGTCCCAAACACTGGGACTCACAAGTTGCAATCAATTTGATAAAAACAGTCAAGTTGTATGGACTTATTTTCCGTTGTTCATCCTGGGTCCAGTTTTCAGGTAACAGGTTTTTTTTCCTTCTTCCTCTTCTGGTGGCTGTGACCAGTAATGCCATGCATAACTAGTCCTCAGTCTTGTTTGTACATTCATCTTCCTAATTTATTGGTGATTGAAATTTGGGGAAATTAATACCAGTACATGTAGATTTGGATTTACTTTGGTTGCTTGTCTGTGGGATGACTCAGTGTGTTTTTCAATATAGAAAAAGAAGTAGATTCTTTGTTACTGTACAGTTATGATTTATGGGATATCAGGATCTCCCTTCCAGTAGGCTCTGAAGAGGATCTTCTATCCTGTAGTATTTGCCAAGTAGAAAGTTAATCTAATTTTTAAAGGCACCTGTAATAGCCATGTTAAAAAAAAGCATTTTATAATTATTTATGTTTTAAAACTTGGGGCAGTTTAAAAATAATTGTCAAACTCATTTGTCTCCTAAAAGCATTAAGCAGTCAATTAAAGTAAATACGCTGAAATACTGAGTATGGTTTTATACTACTGTCCGGGAGTAAATAGTGCTACTGAGGAACACTAACTACTTTTAAGGGTTTGTTCTTGAATATAAGTGGGTCCAAACCATTTGTTTACTGATAGGCGATATTCTGTTATGTCTGATCTTCATAAATAATTTTCTTCAGTGTTAACATTATGGTCACTTTCTGTGTTGTCCTGTTACTCAAAGGCTCTGACATGTCTCAGAACTGAATTTCTTAGTCTTTGGTTTACTTCTCTGATGGGGCAGTCGTGTGGAACTTCACTCAGGATAGAAAAGGATCTTTGAGTATAAGAAATCTCATCTCCTGAGTTTGCAGGAGGATGTGTGGGTGAACATTTGAGCTCACCTCAGTGCCGTAGGTGAGGCCTGACTCCTGTCTGCAGCTCGAGAGTCTATAATACCAGACAATACCAGACGTATCTACTTTTTGTCACCCAACTCTTTGCTTTCAAAAGCACAGACCCAAGTGGCAAAAACAAAAACAAAGATAAAATTATTTGTTGCCCGTCCCAGTGTGAAGCCTCATTGGAAATCATTTTCTAAATCAAGGCTATAATTGAGATAAAAAAAAAATTAAAACACCGCA